ATAATTGCTGTTAATAGTGTTCATCGTCTGTTTGATTGTCTTTAATTGATTACGTCTTTAATTGATTTTTCCGTACATTTCTGCCATATGTACATTAACTGACAGTCACCACTGATAAGCTACTACTAAATATTGTAGAAACTTAATTTGCTGTAAAGTTGCTTTGCAATGATATGTATCGTGAAAAGCGCTATACAAATAAACTTGAATTGAATACAAAGAGTACATCTTAGATTTTTTTATAATTTAAAAAATATTTATCTTTTTCTTTAGCATGTCATTGACCCTAGTTACAAACTTTTGCTAAGCTTTTATTTATTTGCATAGCAATAGCAACCCAACTGGCTTTACGGAATGTTTCTGGCTTGACATTTTAGTGATTTAAATGATCGTTTGCATCAGATTAAGTTATTAAGCCTCAGGCCGTATTTACTGACAGAAAGGTTTCGGCGGGACCGTATCACTAAGTTTGTATGTATGGTCACACCCCACACTGTCAGCAAGCGCCCAGTGCCTTATCAATACAGGCCATCCTTTCAGTAATGATAAAGGACCCTGGACACTCCCAGGAATGGGCGTCCCTCTCTATTGCCTGTTTAATCCTGACAGCTTTTTTATTTTTTTAAGTAAAGAAATGTAAACCGGTTTTGTTGGCAATTTCAACAAAGTAGTGTTTGATTCTCCCACAGGGAAAAAGCTTTGAATGCTGCTGTATTTCTGAAGAATAAAGCTGATTTGATGTGATCATTTAAGACCAGAATGTTAATCTTAGAGTGTTCATGATTGTTTCTCCACAACCACAAAGAATTTAAACTCCTGTGCAATTGTAAAGCGATGCGAATGGAAAGCCCCCGATGTTGCAATGAAAGGATAGACGTTCATCAAAGTCAGACATACAGTTGTGTCACATACATTTGTGTTAATCCTTAGCGAGATCATTCTTGTCTTTTAAATAGGTTAGGCTAGACTACACCAAAATTTACACTGTTATAATTAGCATCATATTCCTTCTGCTGTTTTTAAAAAACGCTGTTTATATCTGCTGGTGTGACTCTGTTATTATGGTGGGGGCAGTTTGTGAGGACGTAGCTGCTTTGTTGGTTGTGTGAACAGCGGCACAAATACCCATAGGGGCCGTGTCATTGTGTTGGGGGGGGATTTGAATACCACGGATGACTCCACTTTCACTGGCCCTCATAGAAATGTTGTTTGCTGCTTCATCTCGCAAAGGAAGTTAATGTTTTACGCATGTGGATGAGTGACCTTGCTGTGCAGGTGCTGGCGTGTGGCTTTACAATCTAAGTGAAGCTGTTCCCAGATAATTGACCATAGCACTTAGTCTGTATTGACCTACCAACACTGGACACAGAGAGAGAGAGAGCGAGAGAGAGACGTTTGTAGATTTTAAGTACAGATCTGGTACACCCGGAGGATGAAAATCCAGTATTCATTCATGAGTCACGTGAATGAAAAATGCAGTATTTATGGTCATACTTTGAGCTATTAATTAACTACACTGTGTAGCCTGGAGGTGTTTTATAGATAATCCAGACACTGTGCTTATGTATTTAACAGCTTATTTTTAAATAGTGTGTTGTGTGCCCTGTAAAGCCTGGAGAGGTGTTTTACCAAGTGTTATAAGGCATTGCTATGACATTGCTCGAGTTTTTCCTGTTTGAAATAAAAGGTGGTTACTGTACAGATGCGTGTGTAATATGTAGGAGTTGGTTTAATGTGTAAATGCCCTCAAAGAGTCATTATCACTTAAGTTAAACTTGGAAGGTTTAGGTCATACTGCACGTGTCCACAGGCAAAGACAAAACTAGCTCCTTATCGACCAAAAATCCAGAGTTCTTCCTCTGTGGAGGTGTGTACAATGTTGGTGACTGTCTTCAGTATGTTCTATGAATGAATGATCAATAAAGTTATTGTGTAAATGCACAAGTACAGTCAGTAAGCGTTTATGACAGGCCTCACACTCAGTGAGGTTGACTGACATAGTTCTGCATTTGTAGTTTCTTAACTCTGCAGAAGTCAAAATTTTTCTTAACTTTGCAAACGTCAGTTCTGCCTGTTATGGTATAATAACAACAACAACAACAACAATGGCAATATAAAATAAAAAAAATATTTCTCCTTTCTTGCTTTCTTGCTTGCTTGCTTGCTTTCATGCTTGCTTCGTTGCTTTGTTTTCTCTAAGGAACTATATCAAAAATCTCTCTCTTGATTTTGTTCTCTGTCCACAGAACCCCAGAGTCCTACCAAAGTTGTCCGTGCCAGCAAACCCAGATCCAGGAAGACCAGTAAGGTAAGTCATTTTTATGCAGTGGTTCGCCAACAGTGGAGGCCATTTGACCTGCATTTATTTGTTTAATGGAGATGAAATAATAAACTTTAATCCCTGTCATTAAGTATAGATACCATATAAATCCATATGGACATCTCTTTTAATTTTTTTTGTCTGTTTATTTGTAAAAGTGGCAGTTTTTTCCTCCAGTCTGTTTGTGTAACAGTCTAGTTTCTGGATGTCCTGGTCTGGATCAGGGGTCAGCAGCAGCCAGTTATTGAGCAGCTTGGCTTGTGTTTGTATTTAAGTGGATATTTGTTCGCTCTGTTCAGTCTTTTGTGTGGGTGATAGTCAACAGAGTCAGCACATGAGTTTTTGACTTTTACCTCAGCGGGACATTCCAGAGAGAGCACATAGAGGGCTCAAATTTAGTCCTAACAGGGGCAGTAGAGTTGTCCCCATGACTGACTCTATGGCATGTTATAGTTTGTCTCCACTTACTCACACATACACCACTTGACAGGTTCCCTTGTACATTCGTGACCCCTAGCATATTATTCTGTGTTCATCCCTCATGCGTTTTAGTTTTTTTTATAGGACTGTGACACGTTTGGTTTGTTATGACTAGCCTTTTTAGTTCACATCGGTTATACCATTTTAACTTCAAGGCGCTGCCTTACAAATTCAGTTTCTACCGTCTAGCTTTAGCATCTGGGACACCCAGGACCCATTTTGGGACGATAGTGGAATCCGATATGCCACTTGGAATTCTGGGTGGCTTCGCGGCTTGAGGAATGATTGACGTTCCTCTGGTAATAGAAGGTGAAATGATCTCTGAGAAAGGAAAAGCCGCACTTCCCCCACAGAGTCAAAATTATATTTTGTGTATTAAATACTGACAAAGTTGTCATGTAGAGTGGAAACTCGACTTGAAGAGTATTTGACGCACAGACGTCAGTGGAGTGGAGCAGCTGCCTTTTCATAAATCATTCAAACTGGACATTGAGAGAGCATGCATCTGCTCATTGCCTTTCAGTTGACAAGCATTAGGGAATTATCCTTTTTTATTTAAATTTTTTTTTTTCAAATCAAATGGGGGTGTTAGTTTTGTGCGTTTCCCATTTATGTACTAACACAGGAGTTGGCTCTTGTAGTAATAGGTCATGATGAAGGATGGGAACTTTCAGTACAGATGTAACTGTTTCTCTTTCTTTTTTTTGTTTCCATTTGCAGTCAAGTGACTTCAGTGACATCACAAACTGGCCGACCCCTGGAGAAATCGCCAATACGGAGGTGAGGAAGACACTGCATTTAAATCTGGCTGTTTTGTGTTCAATTTTGTTCAGTTCCAGGCCTTTATTATTACATGATGAAAACAGTGACACATTATTTTATTACCATATGATTTTGATGTTGGGACATTATAATAATTACTAATTTCTCAGTATGTCCAGCTTGAAACTGAAGAGCAGCTGTGTATCATTTGATTTCTACTGTTACAAATGATCTCTTATTAATATACTTTAGTCTTGGAAAACCTGGATGCTGTATGTGAATTTCAAAAATCATGGCAGTTTCTATGAATATGAATTTTTGTTTTGTCAAGTTCAAAAATATTTTGTAAAGTAGAAAAATTACTATTTATTGAAAAAATTTAAAAATGGTAATTAAAAAACATGATATACATTCATTGGTTGTAAAAAAAAAAAGAAAAAAAGTGAACCCTAACATTTATTTCTTGATACGTCCGAAAGTATAAAATGTAATTTATTTCAGATATTCAGATGTCAAATTGGAAGCTGGGTGTCTACAAGTCAAAGAGGTTTAAGAATAGTTTTATCAAGAAAATATAACAAAAAAAAAAAAAAGTTTTATGCATGTATAAAATAAATCCTGGCATTCTTAAACCTCTAGTCTTTCCAGAGCCTCATCTTTCTTTGTTTTTTCTTCTGTAAAAGGCAAAAGGAGATTTAGAAAAAAGTCTGAGCTGCACTTACCATACAACGAAATTGGATTGTGACTTACAAGTAACTAGTTACGTAATCAGATTACTCTTTCAAGAAACTAGTAAAGTAGCGCATTACTTTTAAATTTACAGTGAAATATCTGAGTTACTTTGTTTTCCCATTTATTCACTGACACCTTGCCTGTCCCCATTTTAAGAGAAATTGGGAGAGAGGGGCAGTCACTTCCTTTAGCCTGAGGCTATTAATATTTTTATTTTTTGTTGTTATTAAAAAAAAAGCAAATAAGCAAGCCCAGCACAAATGGCAATGCATTTTTTCCCATAAAAAGTAACTAAATAACAATTAGCTACTTTTTTATGGAGTAACAATATCATAGTGCATTACTTTCTTTCATGAAATGTCTTGAGTAAATAAACTATGCCTTTATGTCTCTCTTTCTGAATGTTTTTATGTCAGAGTTAAGATCTATGAAATGGGTTCTTAATGCACTGTTGTGGAGTGTTCATTCCATATCACGTGCCTTCAGACCTGTGGAAGAAATGTATCTGTGTTGGTTTTCACTGGACTGCTGGCTTCATTCTACTAAGTTCAGGTTTAATTTACTGAGAGATTGATTTGATTGTGCTCCTCAGCAGCAGCAGAATGTGATAAACGTGCAGGTGAGGAAAGGGACATCCGAATGGAGGGAGAGGAAGAAGGATCGTGGGGGAGAGAAGAGAGAGAAGGAGAGCGGAAGTGATGGGAGTGACAGTAAGGAGAACAGGGAGGCACAGTCGGATCCAATCACAGGACGTTCGAACGAACAGGAGACAGAGGATGGAGAGGATATGCACAACAGTGCCCCCCGTAGGAGAGGAGGTAAGCCAGACAACAACATTAACACACATAAACAGGCATTCAGAGTCACACTGCATATCCATATTTGAGGTTCATGTTTACTGTTTGCTGCATACTGTGCAGTACACTGCCTCCAATTCAGAGCGTAGTATGCTTCCTTGTGGACATATGACCTCTTCATTTTTCACATTGCATGTTCAGAGCTGCTTGAACATATCTTTTTGGAAATAAGAAGCACTAAATAAGTTTAGACACCTGATCAAATAATACACTATTTCCAGTACTGTATGCTGTATACAATGTGTATACAACTCCATTCACAGTCCTTGAAAGTGTGCAAATAGCAGTGGCTGTTGAGCTTTATACTATTTCCTGTTGGCATGAATTCAGCATTATGCAAAATTGATTGCTGAAGCCATTGTAAAAATGTCCTATTCGCAGGTGCATTTATTACCCATTATTAATTTATTCTGAAAGAGAACACATCCAATAATAGGGGGGTTACCCAGCATTTGTCATCATGATAGGGAACCACCTTTATGTGGAATAAATCTGGGACTTATGTAATTAGTTTCTCCGTCTCATCAGTGATCATTACATACTCACTGAAGTGATTGTTTTAGCCTGGAGATGGATTAACTTTTAAAAAAGGAAACATCTTTTCATTAAACAAGATAATAATCTTTCAAATTTGTTTGTAAAATAATGTATTTCGCTAAAGAAAAAAACAACAATGGCATGTAATGTGAACAGTCATGTAGACTTATGGGTAAGGGTCAAAGGTATTTACCCAGTTGTACCTTAAAACCCTGAATGGTTAAAATTAAAATGACTTTTAAACATCTGTCCACTTTTGTGAATGTCATGTATCAAATGGTTAAACAAACTTGTCAAAAGTGCTACTCATTTCTTTAGATGAAAAAGAAAAAGGTTTGGAAAGTGGAAGTGGTAAAAAAAAAAATGACTTGGCACACCTTCATAACACTTCTACAAACTTTAGGAAAAAATGTGAGAACTTGGACATGAACACACGTGTACCAGCAACCTCCAGCTAAAAAAAAGAGAGAGAAAAGAAAATTAGAAATTCTCATTATGCCTGGGTGGTTTTTAGACGCGTTAATGCTTTAAATCACATACGCATGTCTTAACACATGCACACATGTGCACATAGTCACACACTCAGACACTCAATATTTAATTAAATGGTTCTTTCATTTCTTCATAAATCTCACATTATGTCTTTTTAGATGTTAGTGTGGGGTAATTTGCGGTGAATTATTGTCTAAATGTTATGGCAAGACATCTGCAGGAGGATATAAGGCATTACTAAAAACCCCTAGGCTGGTTTTGGAAAGCTTCTTTCTCTTTCTGTTTTTTTGCGTTTTCTGTGTCTTAAAACACATAGATATGAAGAGACAGCACTGTTTTATATTCCTATATACTAATCTGAATTTAGCATGAATATAGTGGGGTACAAATGTCCAATGTTGACATTGAATTACAAATTATTGTATGATTTTAAACAAATAAATACTGTGACATAATTAAATACTAAATATTAAAAGTTTTCTAGGTCCCAAATCAAATAAGTAAATATATGTCATGAATTCATATAAACTGCTTTGTACAGGCAGTCATATGTTTTTGCTTTCATTGAATCTCAAGATTTTCAAATCATGCTGGAAAACATGATTATCAGGTTTTATGCGAACATGAGGTGTTTTTTGTGCAGCATAAGTCCTGCTGCCATTAAAACAATAGAGGGACGTAATAAACTTTAGTGTTGAGACTTTAGTGTTCATTTTTTTAATTCAAGATGATTGTAAATATTTTACACTGTTAATTTTGAGTTCTTATTTTGTCCTTTTCTTTTGTGTGTTCCTCAGGCTGGCGGAGAGAGAGAGATTTCTTTGATGACACAGTGAGTGTTCGCAGCGAGGGCAGCAATGTCCGCGGAGGCCCCAGGGGCAGGGGCAAAGGTCGCGGCCGAGGCAGAGGTCGTGGACGAGGTAACCAATAAACATCCCAACCCTCTACATTGCGAGTAAATCACTCGCATATGCGACTAAATCTTACTCTGGGCGACTAAATAATGTCTAACATTAGCCATTGGCTAATAAATTCTTAGATTTTACACGCCAGTATGTGTGTGAGAGGCGTTTAACACAGATTTTCACTCGATAAATACGCTGACTGAGCGCTTGAGAGTTTCGCTCTCCGTCAAGTGATCTGTACTATTTGGATGCGCTCAATGGATCATGTCATGTACTCAATGGATGCGCAGTATGTAGCACGCAGCGCACCTGTATTTGACGTACCGTAAACTAGTGTGAAGGCGCACGACTCGCCGTCGCTTTACTGATAGCGCTGTGTTTCTCACACATGCAAAGAGAGAAAGAGAGAGTCTTGCATACCATGCTGAATCGACGCGCTACATGTAAACCATATTCTTTGTTGTATTTTCCTGTAAAAATAACAGGGTTAATTTAGAATTATTCAGCTTTTAAGAACAAGCAGAAAATATGCTGGTTTCTCGGCAGTGGGCGGAGCTAATGCGCGAACAGCTCTCGTTGGCTGGCGCTCAACTATTACCGTCCCCATTTTGATTTCAGCAAATCAGTTTGAGCAAACGCTGACAACGTGATTAATATTCATGAACCCAGCAGATTATAGTAGTAGTAGTAGTATCTTTTAGTAATAATTACTGTTACCTATGACCAACAATATCTGATTGGGTACAAATTTGTACCCAAAAGTGAGCAAAACCTGACAAAATCGACAAAAACCTCAATTTGTGGATGTCCTCATTTGTAAAACTGTTATAAAAATAAAGTAAACAAAGTGTTTTTTTACTTTTGAAATTGTAAAAATGCAGAACGTTTTCTGTGAGGGTAGGGGTGGGTTTAGGTTAAAATGTGTATAACTATCTGTGTATGTAATGTCCCCATTTAGATAGCTAAGTAAACTTGTGTGTGTGTGTGTGTGTGTGAAATAGTATATCAGTCTGGCGAGTAAACAAAAAAAATTTACTAGCCAATGACGATTATATTGCCAAGGTGTGCGTAGAGGGTTGCATCCCTAAACAACCTAAACATCAATTCAAAGTCAGACTTTTAAAATGACTTATTAAAGAAATTTTTTATATTTGAAGTGTTTTTTTTTTGTCTTTTATGACATTCTAGTAAATAAAATGCACTGAATTTCAGCATTATTTTTTGTTAAGGCAACATAAGTGTTTCCCAGGGCTTGATATTATGCTTGTCCAGGCACTTGTTTTTCAGACAAGTAAAAGTGAATAAAAAAAACAACTGAAAGCGATTAGGATCAGTCACCTTAAAGGGATAGTTCACCCAGAAATGAAAATTACCCAATGATTTACTCAGGCCATCCTAGGTGTATATGACTTTCTGCTTTTAGACGAATACAATCGGAGTTACATTAAAAAATGTCCTGGCTCTTCCAAGTTTCATGGAATGGGGTTTAAGGATGCGGTTTAAGATTTTGAAGTCCAATAAAAGTGCATAAATCCATCATAAAAAGTGCTCCACATGACTCCGAGGGGTTAATAAAGATGCGTTTTGTAAGAAAAATATCCATATTTAAAACTTTATAAAACATAATCTCTAGATTCGGCTAACTGACATACGCGTGTTCACGAGAGAGTGGCGTTCCAGCGGATGACGTAGGACTTAGTAAAACAAAACAGTGGTCACGAATTAGAAGTACAAAACAAGGATTTGTAAAGAAAAATGTTGGAGGATTTCGATATAAGCCAAGAGCCTTTGCTGTAAACAAAACTTGGTTCTCATGAGACTAGAATATTCTCACCGGAGCCTGTGCTATGCCTACGTCCTACGTCATCTCTCGTGAACACGCAAGGCAGTTAGTGGAAGCTAAATATTACATTTGATAAAGTTTTAAATATGGATATTTTTCTTACAAAAAACCAATTGCTTCACTTCAGAAGGCCTTTATTAACCCCCCGGAGCCGTGTGGAGCACTTTTTATGATGGATTTATGCTCTTTTATTGGACTTCAAAATCTTAAACCGCATCCACTGCCATTATAAAGCTTGGTAGAGCCAGGACATTTTTTTAATATTACTCCGATTGAAAGTCATATATTGCTAGGATGGCTTGAGGGTGAGTAAATCATACGGTAATTATCGTTTGTGGTGAACTATCCCTTTAAACTTTAAAATCCTTCTTCACTGTAAAGCGTAAAATATAAAAAAAATAGCTTAGTCATACAACTTCATTTTAGGGTTTAGGTTTCACGTATTCAGTGTCAAGTATATGTATAGAAATATACATCACGTATTAACCTTGGTTTTTTTTTTCTTTTTTTTCAGGTCGTTATGACTACTCCCACAGTTACCGGGACTCGTACCTGGATGGGTCCACAGTTTCAGCCGAGTTTGGCACTAACATGGTCTATTACTATGATGATGGTAATCGCGTGCAGATGTATACGATTGAGGAGAGTTTACTTAAAGAATACATCAAACGCCAAATGTAAGTTCAGTGTCTCCCTTCTCTTTGAATTTATACAAAATACAGCACTTGGTTTGCTTTTCCAGCTCTCCAGCTTTAAGTTTACCGCATGGTTTCTTTTTATTGGTCATATCACAACAAATTTCGGACTTTATGAGGATTTGTACTTATCTGTAGTTTAGTACATTTAAACTAAACCGTGCACACATGGCTGTATTATATTCTTGGTGTTTCACACTTTACCACCAGTAGGGGGAGCAGCTGCGGCGTTGGGCGGCCTGGCACTGCCTGTCTGTGTGTGTCCTTAATTTAGCTCGTCTGCCTTATGGATGATGGGGAAGGGTCAGATGATCTGGGTCAGAGAGATTAGGACAGAGGACACTGGGTGCGTTGTGTGTGTGTGTGGGAGCATTTCCTAGTTAGTCAGAAATAATGACTTTTGCATTTCATGTGGAAATGAAAATGTGTATCAGTGTGCATATTCAAAGTGTATGTTTTCTTTCTACTACCCAGCATGAGGTTATTGTTTGTGTGTGTGTGTTCTTGCCCATGTAATCTTATTCACAGAGTTCAGCCAAGCTTACTTCACTCAACGCTGTGATCATAACAAGCTGTGAGTCCACAGGGAGCTCACACACACACACTGGCTGTTTAACACTGATCTGAAACCTGTCTTTTAAAAACTGTTTAGATCAATGCTTACTGATGGAAAAACTGTTCACCGATCAGTAAAAAAAGATCCTTCCTATGCAGAGATTTTGATAGGGCTGAAAATACTTTGGTTGAGTCTTCACTTTGTTTGTGAAAAAGAGGAATATGGAGAGAGAGAGAGCAAATTTCACAAATCAGAATACGTTTTGCGATATAAAGCAGCAATTCCATCCCAACAACATAATTGCTTCAATGGAATATATAGCTCTGCACACTCTAAACCACAAACAAGTTTTTATATTTAATAAAAGTGCCACAATCGCTTTCCCAGTGACTTCATCTTTCACTTCATCTTAACTTTAATTTATAACATATTATACATAGTTGCTTCATAATAGTCTCTTGCATAAGACTGAAATGATAAATAGCATTATAGTGCTTTTTCAACATGTTTTCTGCTAAGTTCAGCTGTGTGGTAAAAATAGGCTCATCGCCGAAAATCCACATTGTCTTGGATGTTTTTGGGCCATCTTCGAGTGTATTATTTATCCATCTAATTCTGTATCTGTTTATTTTTAATATTTTTGGTTTATTTGAAAAGATGATATAAGTGTCTCCATTTGGCACGTTTCTAAATTCCTTGTCCTGGATGTTCTCCAAGCCCAGTTTCTCCTCACACCTAAACATACCAGTGAGTGAAACTTGCAAAACACCACCGCTGAAACTCCCCAGAATCATTTGCAGTATGGCACAAGGGGCGTCTCGACCTCGGCTGACTAAAGCTGCAGGAATGTGAGGTGTGTTCTGGGTGGAGGCTGCAGCATTCCTCCCAGAGCACTTCTTCTGCTTCTTACAGGAGTTTTAGCAAATGTTCATGTGTGTTACACATTAAGGAGGCGTTTGATTGGTTGATGTATATCATCGGTCACTTCTCTCAAGTTCCACCTTCAGGTGCCTCATCAGGGTACTTTGTAGGAACTCACATGTGTTAGGAGATACGTAATCAACTTTTCTCCTAACTGCTTGTCCACAAAGGCTCTGTAAGATTACTATGCAATATTTAAATATGAAATTCAGCTGTGATAGTGGAGGTCTGGTCTGCAGTTTTGGTCTCGCTGCACCTGGTCTCACTGGAATCCTGCCAGAGGCTCTGTGCCGTCTGCTGTGGGACTGCTGTGTTCCTCACCTCACAAAATACACAATACCCAGAGGACCGAGATCGAAAGAGAAGCGGTGCTGATCTGTGAATGCACATGTTGCTGGAAAAAGAGAGGGAGGAATGGATAGATAGATAGATAACTAAATGATGTGAAATTTCTGTCTTTTATTTCCAAGACATCCAGTCAGTTCTGTCTTTGCACACATAACAGTTAAAGTGCAGCAGTTATAGCTGTTATACCCTGCTGCTCTTGGATATGTTCACATGTGTTTTGTACTATATTGAATATTGAATTGCAATACATTTCATTAATGAACATTTTTAAAAAGACTTCTCCAATAGTCAAATATCAGACTGAAAGAGTTTATATTATAGCTATATTCTATTATATTGTTGTAAAAACATATTGTTAAATTATTGCATATAATTATTTATTGAATTTTTTTCAAAAATGATGATGATGATGTTGATGATTATTTTCTACTACAAGTTTCTACTACAATACATTGTAAGACTTTGCCTTACAGATAAAATATGGTCTAAAAGTCTGAGATTGTTCTTTCAATGTAGACTTTTAGGATTTTGAAAAATTACATAAATTAAAATTATAGAATTTTGTTCATGTAGCTTATGTGCTACTATCATTTAAAGAGACACATGAAATACTAAGATACTCAGAAATATAGAAATATTATTTTTTCAATTTAGTATTTCACTTGATTTGTTTGTAATATAATTAATAATAATAATATGTATTAGAAAAATGCACAATTTGCTCTAATGTTCTCAGACCTTTAGTACTCACTTTCTTGACTTTTTAAAATCAGTTTTCTTGTCTTTTTTATATTTTTATACACATTAAAGGTGAATTGTATAAAAAAAAAAAATATTTCATTACCATTATACCAGATGGGCATGCAACAAATAAAATTATTAAATGAGCCTCTACAAATATATATTTGGATGCTCTTCAGAGGTATTATAGTCGGTTTTTATTTGCATTTATTTGTATTTTTTTATGTGTTAAGTACAAAGCTTAAAATATGTGATGTGTATGTAATTATATCGAAGTTGTATGTAATTACATCTTAATTGCAATAGTTATTTTTGTAGTTGGTATTTAAATACACAGTAATTAGAGGCAACAGATGTGAAAATATGCTGTTTAAGGATTATTTTGGAGTTTATTGATGGCTGTTTGTTTTTAGTGAATACTACTTCAGTCTCCCAAACCTGGAGCGTGACTTCTTCCTGCGGAGGAAGATGGATTCAAAAGGCTTTTTGCCCATCTCTCTGATTGCCAGTTTCCATAGAGTCCAGGCCCTTACCACCGATATCAGCCTCATTAAGGAGGTGACTATTGACTCTTCACCTCTGCTACATCTGATTTTATTATCTTTAGGCGGTGTTACATCTGGTTTTTGTGTGTATGTGCAGGCGGTGAAGAACAGTGAAGTCGTGGAGCTTGTTGATGAGCAGATCCGTAGGAAAGAGGAGCCCGAACATTGGCCTATTCCGGGTCCCCCTCTGGACTCCCCACGCACAGATTTTTCCCAGCTCATTCACTGCCCCGAGTTCGTCCCAGGACAGACGTTCACCTCCCTCAGCACAGGTTCTGATGTGTTCCACTGTTTAGCTTTTTTATTGTACTTGTCATTGTTTTGCAATTATACTGTTATTTTGCCTGATTCTGAAAATAGTAGCCCTCATCACACTCACTTATTTGCTGACAATCTCTCCCTCCACATGTGCCACAGTGTCGTCCTCCCCAGTCAGTCAGCACATAGTTGAACCTGCTCTGGTAAATGGCCAAACTAGTGATGACACAGACACAGCCAAACCTCAGTCCAAAGAATCCTCTCCTTCAGACTCAAAAAGCAGCTCTAGTGAAGATGGGAATACGACCAAAGAGAAGTCCAGCAGTCTCTCTGATACAGACGCCCAGCCGTGGATACAGGTGGAGAAACGCCACAGAAACTCCTCTGGAAAAAATAAGGTACTTCCGGATCTGATCCTAGTCTAGTGATATGTGACGTGGCATAAATTAGGTCACAGTGTTTTGTAGGGGTGCACTAAATTATGATCATTATGCCAACAATTGTTTTAATGTAACAGCATTCAAATTAAATACTGTTTTGTCTAAAAAAAATGTAATAAAGGACAACAAAATAAAATCTGTCATTTTAAATTCAACATTATAATGCACAGTATCGAAATTGGAAATACAGTTTTAGATTTGGCAAAGATTACATTCAAGTGTTAAATTTACTTTTTTTTTTTTAAGATGCACTTAGTGGGTGTTAGATGACCATCTTAAACCAAAAACTATAGAAAATGAGCATGAACAATTAAATTTATCATTCCAAAATTTGGGTCCGGTAAGTTTTTTTAAAAAAAATTTGAAAAGTTATTTTGCTCACCAAGGCTGTAAAGAAATACAGGATATACAATATTTAAAAAAAATCCTTAAAATATTATATTAAAATATATAAAAATATTTATTCCTGTGATCCTGCAGAAATTATTCTAATATGCTGATCTGGTGCTCTTAAAAAATTTGAAAAGTTATTTTGCTCACCAAGGCTGTAAAGAAATACAGGATATACAATATTTTAAAAAAATCCTTAAAATATTATATTAAAATATATAAAAATATTTATTCCTGTGATCCTGCAGAAATTATTCTAATATGCTGATCTGGTGCTCAAGAAAACATTTCTTATTATTAATGTTAAAAACAGTTATTCTGCTTAATGTTTTTTGTGGAAAACATGATGCATTTTTTCAGGATTCTTTGAATAGGGAGTTCTTTTGTAACATTATAAATGTCTTTACTGTCACTTTTGATCAATTTAATACACCCTTGCTGAATAAAAGTATAATCTCTTAAAAAAAAATAAAAATGGTGCTGCTCTTTTAAAACAATACTGTATAAAATCAATAAATGAAAATATCGTCCAAAAACTCCTATGCAGTGTATGAAGCAAAACAATAGGGGATGCACAAATTCACTGGTAGTGCGTACATTTGGAAAATGTTTTAAAAGTATATATAAATTTTTTTTTTTCATATTTTGGATTATTCACATTTCTTCTTGTTCCTTTATAACTCATGATTCTGCTTGAGTATTTTGATCACACACATCTTTCCTTTTCCAAATCTCTTCATCCATCATTTCCTCTCTCCATTATTCCATCTCCTGTCCTGTGGGTGTGCAGACCTCAGTAACTCCTCTTCCTCCTTCTCCTCCTCTTCCTTCTCCTCCTCCTCCTCCTCCTCCTCCTCTCCTTCTTGAGTTGTCCCCATCTGCAGTTGAGTATCCCCGCCTGCTTTCTGTGTTTCCTGCTTTCTTGATTTTTTTTTTTTCATATTTATTAAAAGTAAATAAGATATGTTTCATGTTTGCTTCAGGAGCACACAGAATTTGTTCAGTCCAGCCCAAAGCAGCAGCCTGAGGCAGACCAGGAGGAGCTGGACTTCCTGTTTGATGAAGAAATGGAACGACTCGCAGCGCCTCGCAAGAACACTTTCACTGATTGGTCAGATGATGATTCTGATGATGAACTTGACGACCAAGACGTAAACAAGATCCTGATTGTTACTCAGACCCCCCCTCACCTGCGGAAACATCCTGGGGGCGATCGGACGGGGAACCATGTGTCACGTGCCAAACTTACAGCTGACCTTGCCAAAGCCATTAACGATGGATTGTTCTACTATGAACAGGATCTTTGGACAAAGGAAGAAGGGCAGCAAGAGTGTGCCAATGCCAAGGTGAGAATGGTTGTGCTTTTTCAATTATTTATTAACATTACAAAAATAAATTACATGTACCATTTACATGTAGCAATAAAGAGTTCAGTAGAATGTCCAAGCTTCTCGCCTCCATATAGTAAAAGTGAAGGTCAGCATCCACTTTTATTGTATGGAACAGCTTGGACATTCTGCTAAGTATCTTTTGTGTTCTATAAAAGTCATTCACGTTTGATATGACGACAATTTTCATTTTAGGCTGAAATCTCCCTTTAACTGCATTATTGATAAACATAATTTCCCCATCAAATACACTGTAAAAAAGTTTGTGTTTGGTATGATGATTTTTATCTGTTTTTGAAATACGTTTACATTACATATACATTTAATCATTTAGCAGACAAGTCTCTTGTGCTACCATAAAGAAGTCTCTTATGCTCATCAAAGCTGCATTCATTTAATCAAAAGTATTGTATTGTACAGCTGTTTTTTATTTTAATATATTTTTAAATATAATTTCTTTCTGTGATCAAAGTTGAATTTTCAGCATCATTACTCCAGTCTTCAGTGTCATATGATCCTTCAGAAATCATTCTAATATGTTGATTTGCTGCTCAGAAAAAAAATATTATTATCATCAATGTTGAAAACAGTTATTAATATTTATGTGGAAACTATGATCATTTTTAAGGATTCTTTGATGGATAGAAAACATTTATTTGAAATAAAATCATTGTAATATAGAAGTCTTTACAGTACCTTTTGATCAATTTGAATGCATTTTTGCTAAGTGAAAGTATTAATTTCATTTAAAAAAACTTATTAAACCCAAACTTTTGAGCCGTAGTGTAAACAAAAAGTTTGTTTTAATCCTAAATGAGTGTGTAATAGTAACACAGAGAAGTTTGTGCTGAGTGTGGTGTTAGTTCACCAGCTGTTGAGTTCAGATAAATGTCCACACTCAGCAGTAACATGGGAATTTTCCTCTGCAAATGTTGGAATTGCTCTGTAGTGACTGAAAATATGCCAAAATATTTGCTTAAGATCTCATATCTCACATTAGGCAGCACATTGTGTCTTTTCTGATTTATTTCTCAACCAACCTGCTTGTCCAAATGAAGTCCTTAGCAATGCATATTACTAATCAAAAATTAAGTTTTGATATATTTACGGTAGGAAATTTACAAGATATCTTCATGGAACATGATCTTTACCTAATATCCTAATAATTTTTAGCATAAAAGAAAAATGTATAATTTTGACCTATACAGTGTATTGTTGGCTATTGCTACAAATATACCCATGCTACTTATGACCAGTGTTGGGCAAGTTACTTCCAAAATGTAATACATTATATATTACTAGTTACTGTCTTTTGAAAGTAATTAGTTACATTACAATATTACTGTCTCTGAATTGTAATGCGTTACAATACTTTTGAGTTACTTTCACCAAAATATCCACAGAAGTATTATAAAATGCCAAAATGTAGTTTATTGCTGCTCATTCTACACCCAGTGGAGGGTAATGTGGTAGGTCTATATAGCATACAATTATAAAATCATATTTAGATGCCGGTATGTAGGTCTACATTAATGTTACTTTGTAGTTTAGGTTAAACACAGATAAGCAGAAACCACATTATTACATTCATAAATAAAGAAGTCTCTTATGCTCATCAAAGCTGCATTCATTTAATCAAAAGTATTGTATTGTACAGCTGTTTTTTATTTTAATATATTTTTAAATATAATTTCTTTCTGTGATCAAAGTTGAATTTTCAGCATCATTACTCCAGTCTTCAGTGTCATATGATCCTTCAGAAATCATTCTAATATGTTGATTTGCTGCTCAGAAAAAAAATATTATTATCATCAATGTTGAAAACAGTTATTAATATTTATGTGGAAACTATGATCATTTTTAAGGATTCTTTGATGGATAGAAAACATTTATTTGAAATAAAATCATTTTGTAATATAGAAGTCTTTACAGTACCTTTTGATCAATTTGAATGCATTTTTGCTAAGTGAAAGTATTAATTTCATTTAAAAAATCTTATTAAACCCAAACTTTTGAGCCGTAGTGTAAACAAAAAGTTTGTTTTAATCCTAAATGAGTGTGTAATAGTAACACAGAGAAGTTTGTGCTGAGTGTGGTGTTAGTTCACCAGCTGTTGAGTTCAGATAAATGTCCACACTCAGCAGTAACATGGGAATTTTCCTCTGCAAATGTTGGAATTGCTCTGTAGTGACTGAAAATATGCCAAAATATTTGCTTAAGATCTCATATCTCACATTAGGCAGCACATTGTGTCTTTTCTGATTTATTTCTCAACCAACCTGCTTGTCCAAATGAAGTCCTTAGCAATGCATATTACTAATCAAAAATTAAGTTTTGATATATTTACGGTAGGAAATTTACAAGATATCTTCATGGAACATGATCTTTACCTAATATCCTAATAATTTTTAGCATAAAAGAAAAATGTATAATTTTGACCTATACAGTGTATTGTTGGCTATTGCTACAAATATACCCATGCTACTTATGACCAGTGTTGGGCAAGTTACTTCCAAAATGTAATACATTATATATTACTAGTTACTGTCTTTTGAAAGTAATTAGTTACATTACAATATTACTGTCTCTCACATATGATCTAGGATGTGTACGTTCTTTTAGAGGGAAAGGTCTTGTCTTGATTAGATCCTCCAGGACAAAAACTCATTTATTGATGTTGTATGAGCCAGTTCATACTAACATCAACAGAATCTGAGCCATTTGCAAATGTCAAAAACCCTGAAAGAATGTGACTCTAATTTAACTCAAGTAGGTCATATCAAGTTTACAATTTACACAGATATGTGTTTGAATTGTACAGTGGTGTCGGGGGTACCCACCTGTTTCCACTCATGGGAGTCGTAACACCTGTGTTAACTGTGCCAAGGTCTCTGTGGGCTGAAGTTCAGAAACCTGATAAACAGCAGTACAAAATGACAGAAAAGAGCACATGTGCATGTGTTTGTTCAGATCAGTTAGAGTTTATGATGTCACTACGCTAGTGTGGCTTTTTTACATTAATATGTTCTGTGTACCATTGTGACCAGTGTGTATAAATGTCAATTTGACACATTATGTTCTTGGTAAACTCCTGATCGACTATGTTATGTCTGATTTAATGCCTCTGATAGGTCTAAAAGCTTCACTTTCAGTGGCCAAATGGGTTTGAGTCTTTATGATGGACTATAAGGATGTCATTGCAAGCAGTAACCGCTGGTAAACCTGATCAAGTTCACTGCCTGCAGTCAAATACAGAGCACTTATGACTTCATTGTTCATACAGGCAGAAACTGAACATCAGGGCACTTTGTTTTCCTCTTCTCCTTTTTTGTTTTTAAGGAGTGTGATGCTCTACTTGTAGTTTTTATGATTTTAGCCCTCTTGTAGCAGTTTGTTTGTACTCTCTATAATGTGTCAATATGTTCAACGTTTTCAGGATTTGGAAAATTTCAAAAAGCTCAACATGATCAGCCAAGATGAGTTTGAAACTCTGACCCCTAAACTTCCCATTGACCCCATCCAGGAGGTCCCGCCCCCTCCACCATGTCAGACAGGTATCTATCTATCTATCTATCTATCTATCTTATGAATAAACAAGCAAACAATTAATTAATTAATTATAAATAAAATAATTAATTTATTGAAATAAAAATTTTTGTCTGTTCTTTTTCTTTAGATGATTCTAGCATGGCTCATTCTCTCCCCACGGATGTCCCAGAATCCTCCAGTATAAACAAGCAAACAATTAATTAATTAATTATAAATAAAATAATTAATTTATTGAAATAAAATTTTTTGTCTGTTCTTTTTCTTTAGATGATTCTAGCATGGCTCATTCTCTCCCCACGGATGTCCCAGAATCCTCCAGTGTGCCTCGCACCCCACGTACACCACGGACCCCTGGAAGACAGGACCCCACCAAAACCCCACGCTTCTACCCTGTCATCAAAGACAGCGGCAACCTTGACGGAAAAGTATGTTTGTACTAGGAAAACATATTCTGGGATTATAAGGATGACCTTTTATGTGTATTTTTGTAACTATATTTATGTATAACCTGAGATTATTATCTGTTTTGTCATCATTTACTCACCCTCATGTCGTTCCAAACCGGTGTAAGATTCTTTCTTATGTTAAACACAAAATAAAATATTTTGAAGAATTTTAAAGAGCCAGTCAGTTATTGGTCCCCATTGACTTCCATAGTAGGGAAAGACATAATATGGAAGTCAATGGGGACCATCAACCGTTTGATTACCAGCATTCTTCAAAATATCTTCTCTTATGTTCAACATAAGAAGGAAACTCCTACAGATTTGGAACAACATGAGGGTGAGTAAATGATGACAAAATTTTAATTTTTGGGTGAACTATCCCTTTAACATTTTTGCCTAATCCCTGAGTTCTCACAGTTGTCCTAACCAGGTGCATATTTCTGATTTTTCTTTTCTCCAACTCACTCTTTAAGACCCCCAGAAAGAGGAAAACCCGTCACAGCTCTAACCCCCCTCAGGAGTGCCATGTAGGCTGGGTGATGGACTCACGAGAGCACAGACCCCGCACTTCCTCCATCAGGTTTTTGGCTTTTTTTTATGTCATGCCCTCAACACTGAGGTGCACATTTTTCTGTGATTTAAAACACGTCAGCTAATTATTTCAGATAGTTGGCTCTGCTTAACAGTCTTTCTTTCTCTCCCATTATTCTCGTCTTCTGTATAGCAGCTCGAATGCATCTCCATCAGAAGGAGCTCCCGCGCTGTCAGGCAGTTACGGCTGCACCCCGCAGTCCCTGCCTAAGTTCTGGCATCCATCCCATGAGCTTCTGAGAGAAAACGGCTTCACCCAGCAAGTTTACCACAAATATCGCCGACGATGCCTCAATGGTGCTGCAATTGTTTGTTTTTTACAGAACAGCTGTTCTGTATATATATCCCTGCTTTACTTGAATTTCTCATTTTTGTGTATTTTCTTTCCAAAGAGAGGAAGCGATTAGGTGTGGGTCAGTCTCAGGAGATGAACACGCTCTTCAGATTCTGGTCCTTCTTCCTCCGAGACAACTTCAACAGAAAGATGTATGAGGAGTTCAAGCAGTGTGCCCTAGAGGATGCCAAAGAGAACTACAGGTAAGAGTCATAGTCCTGAATTCTGTATTTTATCTGCAGACCTTGTCTGGAGAAGTTATCAGCGTTTGAGAATTCAGGCAGCGAACCCCAGGCAGTAAGTCAACCAAGTTCATTTGGCCCCTTCTCAAGTGCCCCCAGTTTGGCAAGTGGGTACATAAATGACATACCGAAAATAAAAATGTTTGTGCCTGCTCATATGCATAAGCAGTGGTATAAACCATTGGTATTACAGATGCATCAAAATTCTCCTGATTTTGGCTACAGAAGACTTGAAAAATGGTTCATGTCTATTCTTAAAAAAATATATATATATATAAATGAAATATTAGCTATCATAACAATTTCTTGTGAGAGAATGTTGAAGTTGGCATTCATGTTTGACCGATATAACACACAACATACAAACACACCCACATTAAAATGGCTGCCAAGTCTGAACATTGTTCTGTCTGGTTCTTATACAGGGATGCACAAACTCTTCTGGTTGTTTACTCACAGATTGTTTGTATTAGTTGTTGTTAGGCAAGTGTGTGTATTTCAGTACTGTATATTGAATGCTGAGGGCTTGCACTCCTATTTAACTTGTTTTTTGAATCAACAAAACTCATAATGCAATATTAAAATCATGTACATTATTGAAAGTATCTTGAACTTCAAATGCTATCAACATCACAAATCTTGCAGATTCTTAAACCATAAATCTTGTTTCATGCAACAATACAAAAATAAAAAGCATTTGCCAACCATTTTTGGTATCAAAATCAGTTACCAACAAAATAGTTTAAACGTAAAACCTTTTTCTGGGAACCCAGATCATTGCAGTATATTTTAGAATCTTGTGCCTGTTTATTTTGGCACAAAACGAAAGTCTTAAGACAAGTGCAAGCTGTACTAGCTCTGACTTTCTGCATGTATAGTATTTGCAATGTTGAAAGTCATGCAAATGATTAGAGTGGTAAAGGATGTATAAGGTTTTTGTATACTACCTGCTGTGCTACCTGGGAAGGCCAAAACTGGTTTCCTAATGTGTGTTCAAATGTTTAAACAGGTACGGGCTGGAGTGTCTGTTCCGGTTCTACAGTTATGGACTAGAGCGGCGGTTCAGACAAGACATCTTCAAGGACTTCCAGGAGGAGACCATCCAGGACTATGAGAAAGGTCAGACAATCATAATTTGGCAAAACAAACAAAAAAACATGCAAAGGCAGAAATGTTTATTTTGCCTTTTTAACTTTGCTGCATATCACCAATTATATCAGTGTCTGGTGTTTTGTGGGTCAAATTTACTTACTCAGTACATTTGGCGGAAACTTGTTAGTAAACCACAATTTTTTGACACAAAGATGTGTCACCATGTGCTTGCATCTGATGTTTGTGGGTTTGTGTATACGTGTAGGTCAACTATATGGGCTGGAGAAATTCTGGGCTTTCCGGAAATACGCAAGGGTGAAGAATCAGCCCATTGACCCCAAACTCCAGGAATACCTCAGCAAATTCAAGAGCATTGATGATTTCAGAGTAGATGTGAGTATAAGCATCAGTCTTACATGTGAATATGATCCCAGAATAACACATTAACCCTGTAAAGCCTAACGTACGAAATAGTAGCTAAAAAACATTTTCTGAAATGGAACCGTTTTTTTTAAACCTTTAAACAAAATCTAAGATAAAAAAGTTTACATGTTTTTTTTTTAAATTTATTATAATTTTTATGCATATGAGGTTTTCATGGCTCATACAATAATATAAATGAACATGGAGCTCATACTCAAGGAAAAATAAAGCTTTTATTCAAAGGCCCAAATTTAGCAAAAATATGCAATTTGGTGCAGTTGCTGATATTTACATAGCCAAAAAGTATAATGAAATTCTGATAGCTTGTCACCTGATGAGATTTTCTAACAGTATAACAGACTACTTGCATAAAATTCATATAACTACGAGTTGTCACTCTATATCTCCGAATAATGTATATCAGTAAGATGATATTTAAATGCTTAGTTTTATGGCCAAAGCTCTCTGGGGACAAAACATGTAATGCAGTGCAATACATTGATGGATGAGAGAAGTACAAATAAATATTCCTCAAATGTCTGATGAATATCATAATTGATACCCACATTTTAACAAGAAATACAATACAATAAAAACATCTAACAATGTAAAATATTACTAACAATATAAAGATAACTTTATATTCTATATTATATTATATTCAAAAATCTATAAGGATTTTAAAGCAAAAAGACAAATGTGTATATATATATATATATATATATGTATCTATCAATAGTATAAAATTGTTGATCAGAAACCAGAAGGTAGTTTCAGCAGTTAGTTTTCCAGCACAGCTTTGATCTTGTTGATAATTTAGTGGCTTTAGAAATTTGTGTATCAAGTATTATAAAGTAGGCTTTATGGGATAAATAGGATTAGTCAATATACATTTAATTACTTTTTAACTGTTAATAGTAGTCTGTTAAACTCTAAACCAAATGTAATTTCCCTTCTCTTAGCCACCAATGGCAGAGGAAGGAGTAAGGAGGAAAGCACACTCGTCCTCCGCAGGAGACGAGGTGAAACGTAGGCGACACAACTCGACATCATCATCGAAACAGACCCCAGTTGCCAAGACGTCTTCAGACAATCAACCAACCGCTGGAGTGATGGCAAAAACAACCACAACAGATCAAGCCGCTGCCCCAACGACAGGGAAATCCACCAATCAACCATCAGCCAAGCCAGTCACAGCCAATCAGAAAGCAGCACCTCTGACCGCCAAAAGCAGCATGGCTAATGACCCGTCTACAAAAGCCCCACCCAAAGAGAATGTGAAGAAGAATACCTCATCAGATGCTCGTAAAGGAGAGGCGGCGACGAGCAAAAACAAAGATGCCCAACAGCCAAAGAAATGAAGCCCTTGCTACACTATATACAGTATTTGAGCGTGATTCTAACTCTAGAGCTGTGAAAAGATTTTCAGTGCTGGTGCAGGCTTACGTTTTACACCGTAACCTCGGAAGTGAGCCAGTCAAACCAACTGTCAGACCGTTGCGTTCACAAACTGAAGAGTAAACCAGAAATATATTTGTGTTGTACAAGGTGCTTTTTCTGGACAGGTTAACTTCCATAAGATCTTTTAGTTTTTTTCTTTCTTTAGTTTTTTTTCCCGGCAGTTAGTAGTTTCAGAATCAAGTACGCATGGTGAACTTGTTTTGCTGTAAAGTTTACAGAAGATGCATTCCTACATCGAATGCAGTTTTATCTCTTTTAAAATTAGTTTTACCTTTGCAAATGCCTTACATTTCAAAAGCGACAAAAAAATATATATATATTTTACAGCTCTGTCAGCATAAATAATTAATCTCTTGGTTTTTAAGTGTTTTTAATTTTGTGAGAAATGCACAGTACACATTTAGTTCATTTATTTTAAAAATTTTAAAAAAAGCTCATCAAACTAAAAAAAACTTGAACTGAGGGTGACACAAGATAACACACTATATAGCTTATTGCATTTTTTGCTCTTTTAGCTTGTGTAGGAAATATGACAGTGATGGAATACTAAGTTCTTTATGCTTTTGTGATTAGCTGAGTGGCTGAGCTGAATATCGGAGAAGTACGTAGATATCAGTGGCGAGGGATTGTAAAAAGTGTTAACATCATCAGGAACTACAGGATGCTCCTGCTTTTAAACAAATATTGTGCCGTTCACATTGCGGAGGTGGTGATCTCAAAGATGCCACATCTCCAGTTTAGGTGCAGAGTAGAGGAGAAAACATCTTTGACCTTTTGATCATTTTGACTTAAACTGGTAAACATCTGTGTACTTGAAGTTTCTAAGAAATGTTATCTTTTTGAGAGGAATTATTCTTCCTTTTCAATTTTGAATCCTATTGGAGTTGAGTTTGAGATAATTTATTGTTTTACTCTCTTTTGAAAGCTTAATTGATTATAATCTTTTTTTTTATTGATATTACTGAGAGAGTGTAGATGACTGCAAACATGGTGGCCCAGAGAATACTTTTATTTGCATTATATTTTTATTTCGAGGTTTGGATCTTTGCTGATAACATTAAATCAGTGTTTTATTTCTCACTTATGATCATTAATCAGACACCGAATTGATGTCCCGATTGTATCATATTTGCTTATGAAAACTGTACATAAAAAAAAAATAGTAGAAGCAGCTCTCTAATTTCAATCAATTCATTTTTATTGATTCATTTTATTGTGATATTTTTGTTTGTGTGCGCTTGTGTGTTGGTATGCATGTCAGTTTAATTTTTTTTCTTTCCTCATAAATTGTAAAATGTAAAAAAAACTTAAAATATATTAAAATCTGTTTATAAAAACCCAAAATAATATATATTGTATTTCTTGTTGAGTTCAAGTCAGGTCAGCGTGTGCTGTGTAATGTTGTTTTACTGGATCTTACACAGGGATCCACATTTTGAACAAAACAATTTCCATTACTTTTCCAGTTACTTGGATTCCTGGATAATGATTTTTAAAAAGTAATAAATAGTTTGCACTCACGAAAACAAAATAGAGTCAATATCTTAGAACCAAGCACAACCTGAAACATGTGTGTTCACTATAAATATTTTCATGACTTTCCAGGCCTTAAGACCCTCTTAAAATTCCCTACTATTTCCAGGTCTTCCATGACTACAGGAACCCTCTTACAGACATGATAAACACAAGGAGAGCAATGCAGCTGCTCTGTTGTAAACAATACATTTAGTCTACACTATAAACAATTATTTCAGACATTGTAAACGATAGACACTTTTTCAACAATAACAGATATGTATAGCCTACAGAAACTGTTAGGGGTCAAGGGACTTGAATGCATATTTTGCACTTTAGCAATAGTAAAGATTGTCAATTCTGAGTTGTGAAGATAACGGGCTCACAAGGGATACTGTTATCTTTATGGAATTATGATTAGTTTTTAAGTTATTGACTGCCATATATTTATCACATCATATATATTTATCATCTAATATTGTTCAGTTTTGTATTTAATACACATTCATTGTTTAATGTCTGTGTGGTAGATAAAAGTAGAACATACTTTTGAGTTGCAGGTTAATTAAAAAGCAGATTTTCTGCATACTTCAGTATTTTTTCGCGGTTGGCTACTGATAAATATAATCATAACAGTTAGCGCCTTTTCATTATCTCAAGCCTTTGTCTGATCGCATGCGCTCGGTGGTCTTGTAGGCGCCACTCTGACAGAAAACTACAAATCCCAGGAGCCAACGCGGTGTTCCGGTGACAGACAGCCAATCAGAAGCGCCCCGAAGTGGCAGCTGGGCGGGCGAGCGCGGTGGGAAGCCGCTATCGTTGCAGTATGGCGGACGATGGGGACGGTAGGAGTGCAGCGGCGGACACTAGCGGCGAGCAGGGCACGACGGATGAGTTGGATCCGGGGGCCGGTCTCGGTATAAGCGGCATGCTGCTCGATCTCAGCGTTCTGGTGCTCCTGCTGGCCGCGTGTTACGTGGTTTACGCGCGGTGGTGGCGAAGGGCGGGCGCGGACGCGGGCCGGGGCAGCGAGGCCTCGCCGCTTCCCAAGATGAGGAGACGCGACTTCACCCTGCAGCAGCTGCGCGAGTACGACGGCGTGCAGAACCCGCGCATCCTCATGGCAGTCAATACCGTTGCTCTGACATATCTTAAAATATGTCAGTGCCATTCTACTGTCTCAGGATGCAATGTAACATTTTCTTCGAAGGCATTTTTATAAAAGCTGCTTAAATATCAATATTGGGCCATTTATGTCTCTTCCGTCTGTATCATCATATGAGCTTTTATGAGAGCTTTTATGAGGTTTTACACATGCACAGCAAGGTGAATTTAATGTTTTCTGATGTTTCAGTGTGGATGAGAAACTTTTGGGAAAACGCTAGTGTGGAAGGAGAGCATTTTTCAAATGTTTCCGGATTAATGTAGACGTAGCCATAGTGTATTTTAATGGCACCTTACATTAATTTCTTTACTCTGTGCAGTGTGTTGTTCACAGAATCTCTCACAGCTGTTTTGGAGTACCTGTTTGTTTACCTGCATTCCTCTGGTTTGCGTGAGTGGCTCCATTCATCTCAGCTGTTTGGTTGTTTTTGAGAGGACAATCCACTTTGGTTTCAGCTTGTCTGGGATTGTCTGACCCACTGACTCTACAACTGTTTTCTTTTAGTAGGTTCATAGCAGAGTTTTGTTTTGATTGCATTTCAGTTGGGCTCTTACTACTGCTAGTAGTAGTAGGAAAAATAATAGTACTAATTTATACTAATTATTGTTAGTAGTAATTAATAATTGTTATTTATTGTTCATTATAAGTAATACATGAGTACTGTTATTTTAAACACTTGACATAATTTACCTTAATTAATCATTATTTTACTTTTTTACTATTTTACTTATTTTCAGACAGTTCAATAATTAAGTGTTTATTATCTTTTTTTTACATTTTAACGTAGGAGGGCTAATTGGCTTAATTAAATTTTTGTTTAATGTGTAGTTGTTAATTTCACAAATTTATTTCAGATCAGACAATACTTGATGAATCCCTGGCAGCATTGCCTTTTCAGTTCTGGTTATTGTATCTGTAATGTGCAGAAGTTCCTAAATTTGTCTTGCTGACCTTTATGCTCACAGTATGTCTGTTGTTACAGAGGGCCCCTACGGGATCTTTGCGGGACGTGATGCTTCTCGGGGTTTGGCAACATTCTGCCTGGAGAAGGATGCATTACGGGACGAGTACGATGATCTTTCAGACCTGAATGCTGTACAGATGGAAAGCGTTCGAGAATGGGAGATGCAGTTCATGGGTAAGCAGGAGAATTCCACTGTGAATTCAGAAAGAAAACATATGTAATTTGCCCAAAAATCGAATCATGTCTGAAAGGTTTTATTGGCCTTTCGGGTAATTGCAGGTAGTAAAGTTGTGCATGTTAGGTAGGTAGGTAGTTTTCACTCCTCCTGGTCCACAAGCTCTGCATGTTGTTCCTGTTGTGCTGGTTAGGGCTGATCTGTACATTTACTGTAATCGCACAGCTGATGCAGGAATGGGGTACTGGGCAAATTCTCTAGATGATGAATGACGGTTTTCTTTAATTGTCCTGTTCACTCTAGATTGGAGAGCTATAAAAATGTATGGCCATATATCAGTGTTTCCTGCACCATTATTCAGCGGTGATGTGTCAGACGGTCTCAGTTAAATGAGATAAGATAAAAAGACTGGGTAGTTGGTACCGTGAAACAAAGTTAAGAAAATACTTATTTTTATTGCATTGTCTTCAATAGCTGCACTCAAAAACCAATGTCACTTATGAATCACACAAATTATTCTTGGATGAGATGAGGTGGTCCCCTTAATGTACTTGTATATGTTTATATGTATGTATGTATGTATGAGTGTGTGTGTGTGTGTGTGTGTGATGTATGGCCATATATCAGTGTTTCCTGCACCATTATTCAGCGGTGATGTGTCAGACGGTCTCAGTTAAATGAGATAAGATAAAAAGACTGGGTAGTTGGTACCGTGAAACAAAGTTAAGAAAATACTTATTTTTATTGCATTGTCTTCAATAGCTGCACTCAAAAACCATTGTCACTTATGAATCACACAAATTATTCTTGGATGAGATGAGGTGGTCCCCTTAATGTACTTGTATGTGTGTGTGTGTATGTGTGTATGTGTATATGTGTGTATGTGTGTATGTGTGTGTGTGTGTGTGTGTGTGTGTGTGTTGGTGAGAGTGACTCTTGTTCTATAGCCATATACAATAAGGTTTATACTTGACTGATCTAGATTGATTGATTCAGTGTAGAACAGTCTCATATCTGTTTGTGTTGCTGTGTGCGATGAGGAAATGTGAGCTAAACAGCTTGACTTCCCTGTCACCGCCTGTGGGGAAAATCAGGCATGTAATATAACAGATTAATGCTGCTTATAAGTTACTCTGGTGATAAAGCACACTATTTTTTCACTCTGCTTGTTTGCGTTGTTGCTACCAGAGGTGAATTCATGGTGAATGCCTTATAAGAACCCTAAAAAAATAATTGGATAAACATTTAGTATAAAATTTGCTATATATATATGCATATACACATTTTTTTTTTTTACTGGCTGTCAAAGGAAACAGTGTTACTTGTATAATATAATTTTATTAATATTTATATTTTATATATATATATATATATATATATATAAAAAAAAATTTAATTTAAGTTTGAATAATTTGATGTGCTCAATTTTATTAGGTTTAGGTAAGTACTTTAGCTTAAACTTACTTCAATTAGTTACCAAAGCACTCTGCTTGTTTGCGTTGTTGCTACCAGAGGTGAATTCATGGTGAACGCCTTATAAGAACCCTAAAAAAATAATTGGATAAACATTTAGTATAAAATTTGCTATATATATATGCATATACACATTTTTTTTTTTACTGGCTGTCAAAGGAAACAGTGTTACTTGTATAATATAATTTTATTAATATTTATATTTTATATATATATATATATATATATATATATATATAAATTATTTATGTTTGAATAATTTGATGTGATGTGAGCTAAACAGCTTGACTTCCCTGTCACCGCCTGTGGGGAAAATCAGGCATGTAATATAACAGATTAATGCTGCTTATAAGTTACTCTGGTGATAAAGCACACTATTTTTTCACTCTGCTTGTTTGCGTTGTTGCTACCAGAGGTGAATTCATGGTGAATGCCTTATAAGAACCCTAAAAAAATAATTGGATAAACATTTAGTATAAAATTTGCTATATATGTATATACAATTTTTTTTTTTTTTTTACTGGCTGTCAAAGGAAACAGTGTTACTTGTATAATATAATTTTTTTAA